TTCTAGCCCAAGGAAATACCTCGTAGACAATTCCCTAAAATGTACCAGGATTAAGACTTGCTGGGGAACGGAATAAAATGCTTATAAAATAGGGATTCTTGAAGTATCAAAGTTTCTGTTTAATTTTAATTGTACTAATATATTTGCAACTTTTTAAAGGGAAAATTAATCTGAAAACAAAAATTGTGCTGTATATCAAGTAGGTGCTTGTAGAATCTCAAAAGTATGCATTTGATAGAATGGACCCCAAAGTCATGCCACCAAAATTAAATGAGACTGACATCTAGTGGCAATTCAGTGCAAAAGTTTTCACCTCATTAGGGCAAGATACCATGGGTTTCTAGCACGCATGTACCTCTTCCAATGGCATGAGACTGAGAATTTTTAGGGGGAAATAAGTTTGCCTAATAATCTAAAACTAATGTTAATGCAAAACCCTTGGCTTACTTCAGTTCCCTCCCCGCCACTCCAGTCCATCTACCGCTCAGCTGTCAGTGATCTTTCCAAAGCTCAGGTCTGACCCTGTCCCCTCCCTCTCCAGTGGCTCCCTATCACCTCCTGGATCAAATATAAAATCCTGTGTTTGGCTTTCAAAGCCCTTCATAACCTGGCTCCTTTCTAACTTCTCAGTCTTCTTATGCATTACTCCCCTCTACGAACTCTGCAAACCATTGACATTGGCCTGTTCCTAGAACAAGACGCTCCCTCTCCAAACTCCAGGCTCCCCCAGCCTGCTTCTTGGCCTCTATCAGGTACCAGATGAACTCTCACATTCTACAATAGCCCCTTCTGTAAGGCTAGAGCCTTCCATCTGTTAATTATTTCCAATTTGTCTTGTCTATAGCTTGCTTGTACATAATAGCTATTGTTATTAATAGCTAACATTTATATAGTGTTTACTATGTGCCAAGCACTGTACTAAGCACTTTAAAATTATTGTTTCATTTGAGTCTCACAACTCTGGGAGGGAGGTGCTATTATTATCCCCATTTTACAGATGGAGAAGCAAACACAGAGTGGTTAAGTGACTTGTCCAGGGTCACACATCTGGTAAGTGTCTGAGGCTGGATTTGAACTCAGGTCTTCTTCTTCTTTTTTTTTTTTGACTAGGCAATGGGGTTAAGTGACTTGCCCAGGTCACACAGCTAGTAAGTGTTATGCATATGAGGCCAGATTTGAACTCAGGTCCTCTTGAATCCAGAGCGGGTGCTCTATACACTGCACCATCTAGCTGCCCCAAAACTCAGGTCTTCTTGAGTCCAAGCCCTAGGCTATATCCACTGTGCTACCTAACTGTACATAGTTGTTTGCATGTTATCTCCTCCATTTGACTGTAAGCTCCTTGAGAGCTGAGACTATTTTTGCCTTTCTTTGCCAGTCCTTGGCACTGTACCTAGCACGTAGTAGGCTCTTAATAAATATTTATTGATAGACTGACGGGATCTGTGATTGTTGTGAGTGCTCAAAACTCTCTGATAAAGCTGGGAAGTACCTGACACCTTTCCCCATGACATATGCTTGTGAAAGTGGATTTTCTGAACTTGTTGCACTGAGATCTAAATACTGAAATGTGTTAAATGTGGAACTCAGGTCCTAGGGTGAACTTTCTTCATATCAACCACACTTCCAGTTTCTGAAAGCCACAAAAACAAGCACCAGCCCTTTCACTAAATGCCTCAAAGTTGTAAAGAAGCAGACGGCCAAGGGTAGCAAAGTCCTTCCAGCTTCTCAGTTTCACAACCTAAAGTCATCTTTGACTCTTCCCTCTTTCTACCTTCCCTCTTGCTGATTCTGCTTCCACAGCATCCATTTGTCCCGTCCCCCCATTCACATGGCCCCACCTGGATTATTGCAACATCCCCCTACCTGGTCATTGTGCCTTCAGGCTCTCCCCTTTCTAATCCATCCTCCATACAGCTACCAAACAGATAATCCTAAAGTGCAGGTCTGACCACATCACTCCCTGGCTCAAGTCGCTTTAGTGATTCCTCATTGTTTCAATCTGAAGATAAAATACAAAAGGTTACAATAGTGTCCTCTATTTGCCACGTGAAGCCCTTCACAATGAGGCTCTGGGTTACCTTTCTTGCTTGATTTCACACAATTCCTACACATCCATTCTAAGGTTCAGCCAAATTGGCTTATTTGCTATTCTTTGAATATGACAGTCTATCTTTCCCCTTTGTCTTTTTTCTGCATAGGCTGCCCCAATCCGTGGTATGCTTTCCCTACTGACCTCTGTCTCTTGGAATCTTAGGTCCCTTCATAGTTAGTTCAAGTGCCACTTTCTAGAAAAGGCCTTTCTTTATCTCTCTAGTTGTGCTTGTCTAACTCACATCTACCACTAATCTTATCGGGACTAAAAGCAGTAGATCTTGTAAAGCAATGTGGGTATGGCATTAAGATAATAATCCAAGTCTGAACTTTACTCCATTTTCTGCCTTCGTGCCTCCATTTTCATCTAAGATTTACAACACATCCCACTTAACTCTCTCCTGTCTTATCTCCTTCTCCCTCCCCAAAAGGCTGAGCTCCATTTCTGATCTTGGAAGTACTGTTTCTAGGTAAGGAAGACATGAAGAGAAGTCAGTCACCATCGGTACTATGGAAAGACCACTGTCTATGGTGTCAAGGAATCTGGGTTCAAACCCCACCGTGGGCATATACCGTGCATTCCTGGGCCTCAGCTTGCTTATCTATGGAGATGAGGAAGTTGGGCCAGATGGCCTTTCAGATACCTTCCAACTCTGGATCTATGATGTTTTGATCTTGTATCTAGGTTACTCTTACCCGGCTCTCTTATTAACAAGCCTTTGCCTTATGCCCAAGTGAGTGGTAGAATCTCTGCCTGGGATTCTGATGCTGCCTTGTCTCTCTTCTGCTTGTTTTAGGAGTTGAAGATCTGGATCTGAGTCCTAGACTCTGTGGCTGGGCCAGGCTTTCTTCCAAGTTCCTGATGCTTCCCACTCACCTGCCTCGAGTTCCTTACATTATCTGCTTCAGTGGATTTTTCTGGTGTTCAGGCCCTGGTTATGATGGGGTGCTTGGGTGCTTGTACTTGGACCCCACTTCCAAGATCACATTTCTCCCTAGTCTCAAAACACTATGCCTGACAATTTTCTCCCCAGCCCAAAGACCTTATCTCTGGCAATAACTCATGAGTGGGCCCAGTGAGGCCCACTCTCTCCTTGATAAAAGAACAAGCTGACTTCTGTAGAATTTCCTTTGTACTATCTTGTATCAACAAAATTATCATGTACTGATTCCCACAGTTATTATGTACTATCCAGAGGTCAAGTTATAGACATCAGCTCCCGAAGCTGTCTTGTTACAGACATAACAGACCAAAAATACACCCCTTAAGAAACCTCCTCCCTGGTTTCCAGTAGTGAATGACGTCTGTGACCAAAGTTGTATGTTATCACCTAATTAGCATACTTGGTACATAATCCACTGCTTTTCCTATATAAGTTTTAGCATCATTCCTGTTAGGTTGCAGAATTCTCTAAGGAGCTCTGCCCACCATATTAGCATGACAATAAACCTTTGCCAACTTGACTTAAAGAATGCATGAATTCATTCCAGATGTCCCTGTCCTGTACTTTGGAGCTGGGGAGAGGTGGGGGTCCTGAACCTCCCAAAAGCACATCGGTTATTCCCAGGCTTGCCCACCAATGAATAAGCACCAGCTATTAGTGAGTTGTGAAAAATGTAAAGAAATATTTTTCAAGGAAGAGAACTCTAGACTAGACTGGCTAGAATTGAATTGAAAGAATAGAATTGAAATAAATATTTTACTTAGCCTAATCAAAGTAATAGATGTTCTTCATCCACTTGGTCTTTTCTGTGTGGATGAACAGGTCAAACTCCATTGAGTACTTATAAATCTCTCCCAGGAGAATCTGATTTTTTATTGTCATTTGTATGTCATTTGAAAACAAGTACATCTGATAGACTTCACCATGCACAGAGATTTTCTACTTATCTTGGACTCAAGCTGGATCTCTTCTATCATTGTGGTGAAAACCTTTGGTGAGTATCTCTCTTTATACTTTGCCTAATGTGTATTATCAGAGAGCTGTTGAACAGGGTTACTTCTGCTGTTATATAGTCCAAGGAATTCAGAATGATCTTGATATATGGGTGGGAGACCACTTTGCTGTAGAAGATAAATGGCAATCTTTTATTCTGTCTAATTAAGTGGTTTGTGTTCCTGTGTGATCAACAAATGATAAGCACAATGGAATCTCAATGCTCTATATTTTTCACTTAATTGTGAGATAGTAAATGTGACCCATTGTTGAATTTTGCTTCAGAAAATCTGTTTATTCCCTACTAATGCTGATCCCAGATGTCCGCAATTCATGTATAGATGACTTTCATAAAGATTTGTGTAGATGTGAGAGTAGATATATAGGCTGGTAATTATTGATGTTCTTAGATTTCAACATGCATTTAACTGGTAAATATTTAACAACTGGTTTTCTGAAGAAAAAAAAGTATGCATGATACACTTTTAAGTTTAGTGTATATTAGTGTATGTATTTTATGCATCATTTTTGATAAACCACAACCAAAAAAAAATCAAGGTCTGATTTGTCACATTTGCTGATTTCCAAGATGTAAATGCTCACACTGAAAATTTAACAATTGACTCTCGAGAGCTGGTGCTAGCTGACTCCAGCATATACCCCTGGATGAACACCTTACAAAATTTGTCCAACTGTATGTAATCTGGGAAAGAGAGCATAGCTGGAAAATGAGCTGGGCCCGGGCTTACAACAGCTAGGTAGTATGGTTGATACAGTTGACATTGGACTTGGAGTCAGAAAAACCTGAGTTCCAATCTTGTCTTAGTCATTTATTAGCTGTGTGACTCTGTGAATCATTTAAACTCTTTTGGCCTCAGTTTCCTTATCTGTAAATTGGATATAATAGCACCTACCTAGCAGGGTTGTTTTGAGGATCAAATAACATGCAAAGTGCTTAACAAACCTCAGAGTGGTATATAAATGCTAGCTATTATAATTAAAAGGAGAGTAGCCGACTTGCTTCTGTAAATTGCAAGGATTTTTTTTTAATGACTCCAAGTTTCTCATTAAAGCAAAGGCCCATATTTTCACTGCTACGATCTTACTAATGTTGCTATATGGCAATATAATTACACTGCCTTTGAAGGATTAATAGGCATTGTACAGAGAGTAACTGAGAGGCACATGGTGGGTGGGAGCAGGCTGTAATATGTAACCAACAAGGAAGTCTGAAGGATGGCATTGAGGAATGGTATGAAAGGAAAAGATGGACTGGTCATCTTCTGGCAAGAGGGATGGATGACAGGTGGACAGCTAGGGTAATCCACTGGTGCTTTCTGATAATGAGAAATAAGGGCAACTTCTAGCACACTGGTTGCACCTCCTGTGGTGAATTTTTGGGAAAACATGGATAAATCACACATAATGAGCAGACATGGACAGATAGAGATTTGCATTGTTGGAAGGCATTCCTAGTCATTGGGAGTCCAGATCTGTTTGAATATAATCAAGACACAGTGTTAAGAGAAAGTCTGACATGGATAAAGGTAGTTCCTGAACAGGTATGAAGATTTATAAGACTTTAGAGTAATTCTGAGGAAGACTTTTGATGTGGTGGAAATAAGGAAAGACATAGTTTTTTAGCATTTCATTATCACTTATCTGGTGATCTTTTGGGGCTAACTGTGATCTGTTATTAATTTGTACCACATCTTATCTAATCTCTGTATCTTCTCCAGCACCTGGCATGGACACTGTGCCAAACACTCTGTACACAATAATATTTAATGTTTATTTGCATAAAGTATGCTTAATCAGTTCATTTACCTGCCATTTTATCGTTTTCAAGTTTTATAGGTTTTTTACTTTTCTCTGTACGTTTGTTTTTTGGTATAAGAAACTGAACTTGTTTTACAAAACTTCTAAAAGACAGATATTAAATTTAACTAAGTAGTAACAAAATTGTTCTAATCATGTATGTACCCTCTTTGTCCTTCTATGCATTTTAAGAAATGCTTTATTGAAGCTTAATAAATGCTTGTTTTCTTCCTTCCTGCAGCACTAGAGCCATGAGTTACCCCTCTCTGCAGATCATCTGACTTCGGACCCCATATCCTTCCCACTGTACAATGCTGCCTCCCAAGATAAGAAGAACAAGTGATGTTCAGCTTGGTGAGAAACAGCATCAAGTGTGGACCAGGTTGAGGCACAGGGCTTTTTAAAGAGGAGGGAGGACGGAAAGGGTGAACCTTGGATGTTTTCTCCTCTAGTTACTTAGATCTGCTAAGAGACCTGGAATGGCTAAGTCTCTCAAAGCCCTGCACCCCCTCTGCTTCTGAGAAATAGTTTATCAGTTAGTACTCAAATGATTTTTTATTTCACAGTTTTTTTATTTTCTTATTTTTCTGTTTTTTATTTCTTAGTTTTGCTTCCCTACCTAATTCTGCCAACTCTTTGAGGACTCAGTTTTTTTTATGCAAGGACTAAGTTTCAGTCTCTTAAAAGAAAAATTTCTGTCCATGATGTCACTGAAAAAATGCCTATAGGAATGAACAAGTAGGAGTTCTGACAATTATTTTTCTATTTCTTCAATGAATTACTATCACTATTATTTTCTTTTATGAAGTACTTTGAGCTGGTATGTAAAAATTTTTCTTCCCTAAGTAATATTTTGGAGAAAGGAGAGTAATTTCTATGTTAAGATCAACTGTTATATAAAAACCTTTTCTACAAAGATACATACTTATGAATTGGACAGACTGTTCTGGTCATTCATTTAGCACAGGTAGATTCTGTGCTTTATGTGCTCCTACTTTATGTAGCATTAGGAATTCAGGATTGGGGAATCTCTACTTGTATTAGCCTTTTCCTGGCAGGCCAGGGTCCCCTGCTCATCATCAGAGAACATTTGTTTGTACCTGTACAGTACCCCGTAGATATACCAATGGCAAGCTTCCATACCAGGTTAAATGATTAAGAAAATACTGTTGTACATAATAGATGCTCAATAAATGTTTGTTGATTGAAAAATAACACAGTCAATTCTATTTTGGCACAATATGTACATTTAGTGTCCTTCTGAAATTCTGCAACATCTAAACAATGTTGTCTGAGTTAATGTAGATTTTTTGGTGTTCCAATAAACTGTTTAGTATTAGAACTCATCATCGGACTCTGCATCCCAACTACAAGACTGTTGCTGCTCATCCTGTGGGAATTCTATTTCAATGTCATAGACAAAATCTGGGTCATCCTTCTTCTTCTGATTCTTCTTAAAGAGTTCGTCCATGATGCTCTTCCTTTTTGCAAGTTCCTTATCATCTAATTTGTTCAGATCTTCCTCGGGATCAATGGTTGTTTCCCGCTGAATTTGTTGCATAGTTTGGTCCAAGGTTTGCCCCCTTAGAAAACCTTTTAAAAAAGTGAATAACTTCTCCAACTGCTGCAGAGACACCCCCTCAAGGTAGACCTTGTGTCTTGGGTTATGCTTTAGCTGTTCAGCAGCTCTACTGCAGTCTGAAAAAATGAAAAAGTTAGGTATGGTGTCAGTGACAGAGAACAAAAAAAAATCCTTAATTTGTAGTAGTCCCATGAAATAGGTTGTCAGTGCTGCACTCACATGCCTACCCTGCCTCACTTCAATCCAATTCATGCGCAAATCAAGATGCCACCTGTGGTCCTCTTCAAAAACAGAGGATGGGGGCAGCTAGGTGATGCATTGGATAGAGCTCCAGCCTTGGAGTCAGGAGGACCTAATTTCAAATGTGGCCTCACACACTTGACACTTACTAGCTGTGTGACTTTGGGCAAGTCATGCCTCACCAAAAAGCAAAAAAAAAACAAAAACAAACAAAAAAAAAGGATGTACAACACCACCACACACACACACACACACACACACACACACACACTCATGAGTACTTCACGGGGACGGGTTGTGCTCACACTGGTGTTCTGGGTCTGTTGGCTTCTTTGGGAGCTCTCTCTCTCCCTCTCTTTTCCCTGTATAGATTACTGGGAGGATGCAGGTCTAACATGAACAGCTGACAAGAAGGGACACTGGCCTCTACCTAGCCCTAGAATCCATCCCCTATTCATTCAATACAGAATTGGCCCTAAGGATGCCAAACCTTAGATGTTCTTCTTCTCACACCCTTTAAACACAGCCCACAATGGAAGCAGTGCTAGCACATTCCACGTACTGATGGTCTCCAAGGAGAAGACCATGAGTGATTTGTTCATTCCGTGCATATAGAAATCATTGAATCCATCCACTGGGCTGGTCTTACCCACAAGCAGGGTAGGTAGCTGGGGTCTATAGGATAGCAATCCTCACCTGTTTTATTTCACTTTTGGTTTTCTCTGCTTCTTCAGAGAGAGGCAGGCTGATGGGCAGCGGGCATTTATTAAGCACTTACTGTGTCCAGGCACTGTGCTAAGTACTTGGGGATAAAAATACAGGCAAAAAAAAAACAAAACAAAAAAAACCAGTCCCAGCCAACATGGAACTCACATTTTAATGGGGGAAGATGCACAAAAGAGAGCCGACAAGGAGAGAGGAATTTCCAAAAAAAGCCTTTTCTGAGGAGCAACAGAATTGTTCGGGCCTGGCTTACCTCTAAATCAGAGGCTCTTAACTGGGGTCCTTGGACCCAGAGGTCAGGGGGTTTGTGACTTGGGTGGGAAAAAATTATATCTTTACTTTCATTGGTCTTTAACTTAAATTTAGCATTTCCTTCAATTATGAATTTTAAAAAAACAGCAACAACAAAACATGATTCCAAGAAGGGGTGCACAGACTTCACCAGACTGCCTGAGGCATCCATGATAGAGCCTCCCTGCTCTAAATATTGGAATTAAACTCCATCTTCCCTACTACATTAATACTTGTTTTCACTTCTGGTTGCAGCAAAGCTGTACAAATAGCACACTGTAACACAGTGTAGAAGAAAAGTGCTAGATTTGGAGTGAGAGGCCCTCAGTTCAAATCCTGGCACTACCTGCATGACCCTGGGCAAGGCATTAACCTTGCCCATAAAATGAGAGGACTGGACTAGATGACCTCTGAGGTCCTCTCGAGCTCTAAATATGTGATCTTACGATCCCAGGGATCTGTCCTTAGATACCTTTCCCTAACCCAGGGAAGTAGAGAGGCTGCATTATGCAGTGAAAGGAATATTAGACCTGAGGTCAGAAGCTTGGGTTTCAGTCCTTGCTCTAACACATACTTACTACCTGTGTGACCTTTGGCCAGTGACTTGACCTCTCTTTACTCCAGTTCCCTCACCTGTAAATCAGAGATAGCAATTCTTGTATTGTCCAGGTCAGCAGGGTATACTCTAAGCTCTATGGCATTATAGAAATATTTGCTATTATTACCAGGTCTGTGAAATCAGGGAGATGAATGGTTTCATCTTTAGATGTTCCATAATGAGTGGCATGATTGGTGTCCAATACATTTTTATTGTTGGACGAGTGTCCAACTTTTCTCCTTCTGCTACTGACAAGATTGAGTCATTCAGAAGGCAGGGGCTAAGGACTCATTTTAGCTAGTTCAAAGCATTGAGGAAAAGTACCGTTAAGAATTTATAATTCTGCTATGATGGTTGTGTGCGAAGGCAAGAATTAATAACACTTCATTTCCAAAAATTTGGATCTCCATGGTTTGAAGTATAGGAAATCAAAATCAAGGTGAATGTTGCGGCATCCATTACTCATTAAATTTTGAATTTTCAAGTTGTTAGGAATTTTTAGTTCTACTGCTAAAATCTTCCTAAGAAAAATTTAAGTTTGATTTTGATCAGGACTGATTGAAGGAAGTTGAGATGCTTAGTCTTGATGAGAAATGATCACTTTCTTCAAATATTTGGAGAGATTAGATTTTTTCCCCCCTTTGCCTCAGAAGGCAGAACTAGAATCAACAGGAATTAGTTGCAGGGAAGGATATTTCAATCTATTATGGGGAAAAGCTTATTTTTGGTCCAACAATGGAATTAACTAAGCTTCCTGTGAGGAGAAATCTTTATACAGAGGTTGGATCATCACTTGCAGGGGATCTTATGGAAGAGATTCATGACTTAGGTGCCTTTGGGATTAGAGGTCCCCTAATGTCCCTTTCAGCTCTCAAGACTCTCTACCAGCCCAGGTGAGTTAGGGTAGGTAAGATAAAACATTGGATACCTGAAAACTTGGAGAAGTTTCGGATCGGCATGATACGCTGGCGATTTTTGTCCTTGGCTTCCCCTTGATAGATCAAGACAATGGCTGGAGGCTGGAATCTAATCCCACACTTCTTGGCAGTGTACATCATTCTAATTCACAGCTGCTGGGCAAATCAGAAGGAATCTGATGGAAGCATTCTAGCTTAGTTGCAAATGACTCCCTGACAAAGGAAAAGAATATATTTCAATTCCATTTTCTATTCAAGAGTCTGATGTTCCTCATTCTTCCACACCTCCCACCTTCATAGGCTAGTTCTAAGGTTGCAGGAAAATAAAGAGGATTACTATTTCTTCTTGGAGTCCAGAAAATTTAATGGGGGCACGTGTAGTTCATCCACAGGTGTGTTCAGAGAATTCTTGGAGCCTGGTGTATCACCCCCTAGGTTGGATCTGAATTCCTGGATCAACTCTACTTACCAGCCTCCCAGAGGGGTAACACTGATTCATTCAGCAAATATTTAGAGAGGTAGCATGCCTTAAAGGAGAAGAGTCAGGAAGACCTGAGCTGTGTGATCACAGGCAAGCCACAAACTCTCTGAGCCCAAGCATCCTAATGTGCAAAATGAAGATAATATAACTGCATAGGAATTTTTGTGAAACTCAAATAAGACAACTATCTAGGAGTGCTAGGCTGGCCAGCCCCATCTGTCCAGCAATGTCCAGCAGCATTAGGAATGCTTGAGGTTACATGTCCAGTACTGTCCAGGAACAGCAGGATGGCCAGTCCCACCTGTCCAGCAGAGTTTGGCAGCATAAGACTGATTGAGCTAAATGTCCAGCATTGCCTAGGAGCTCTAGGATGACTGGTCCCACCTGCCCAGCTGTGTCCGGCAGTGTAGGCCTAGGAGCTCTAGGATAGCCGGCCCCACCAGCCCAGTTGTTTCCAGCAGTATAGGGCTAGCTGGGCTAAAAGTCCAGCACTGCCTAGGAGCTCTACGACGGCTGGCCCCTGTGTCCAGCGGCATGCGGCTGCATGTCCAGGAGGGCCAGGAGGGCCATCCTCACGTGTACGGCCGTGCTGCAGGTCCAGCATTGTCCAGGACCACCAGCCCGGCCGGCCCCACGAGGAGGCCCGTGCCCGGAGAAGGAGAGCGAGAGCGGGCACCGAGAGAGGCCAAGCCAGGCTCAGCCTCCCGCCCGCACGAGACTTCGGTTGGGAGCGGGGCATCCTGGCCAGGGGCTACCTGGGTCTCCCAGGACGAGGTGAAAGAGGTCACAGCAGCTGGCCCAGTCCGGCTGCGGCTCCGTCGGGCTCTGCTGGGCTCCGACTCCAGGCCGCTGAGCCATCTCCAGGGGAACACTACGTCACCCGAGGCCCCGCCCCGGCTCCCTGAGGAGGCGGGCCCAAAGAGGGTGGGGTGGAGCGGGGCCTAGAGGGGAAGGGAGGGGCCGGGGGAAGGAGCTGCGGAGGAGGAGAGGCGGGGCTCAGAGGGAAGGGGGATGCCGGGGAGGAGAAGGGAGGGGCAGGGAGTAAGAGAGGGGAGGAGGCAGGGGTGGATCATAGAGGGGAGGAGAAGCGAAGGGCGAGGCAATGAGTAGGAGAGTAGGGGCTTAGGAGAGACGGGAAAAGGAGGGGAGGAGAACCTGGAGTAGTGTCGGATCCAGAACGCTTCGCTGTCTATAGCGCTTTCAGAGTTTTGCAGGGGTGGGGGTGAGGGTGGGGTGAGGGTGGGGTGGGGGCGGTTGTTTCCTCACAACAGTCCAGTGAGATAATGTAAGCATCATTAGCCCCCATTTTACAGGAAACGGGCTGAGAGAGCCCTTGGCCACAGCCTCTCCCTCCCGCCCACAAGTCCAGCACTTGGTTCTGCCACACCTCATTATCTCCTCTGTGGGAAGGGCGACGGGGCAGCAAGATCTTAGAGGGATCTTAGAGGTCATGTAGCCTAACCTCCTCATTTTACAGATGAGGAAACCAAGGCCCTGACAGGTTGAGCAAGAGGAATGGTAGGGGAAGGGGGTAGAGGAAGGAGTTTGCTACACTAGGCCAAATGTCACGGCGGAGGATGGAAGGGGGTGGGGAGAGGGGAGAGGGGAAGTGTTGGGCGGGGAAGTGCGCACGCGCCTTCCTTCGGCCACCTCCGCTGGAGCCTGCGTCTCTTAGAGAGCTCGCGCCGCGGAGGCGGGGGAGGGGCACGGCGAGGGTATTTCTTCGGCGTTCCACGGCGCATGCTCCCACTTTTCCCCTTTCCCGTGTGCTCCTGCGGGTTTGACCCGCTCCGGCGCCCTGGCTCCTAGGGCGGGGGCCTGGCTCTTGGTGTGGGGGGCGACGGTGCTTCTCAGCTGCGCCGCAGCCAGCCGCTCGGGTAAAGGGAAGGCAGGGGGAGGCCACGGGGAGCTCCAGGCTTGGCGTCTGGGCCCAGGGTCGCCGACACCCAGAGTAGTTACCAAAATGGGGATGAGGAGGGAGATTTAAACGCCTGCAGCGTGAGTCCCCCGGCGCGCGGGGCGCAGGCAGGAGCGGCCGGTCTTAGCGTCCGTCCTGTCACTGTCACCTCGGCGGGCCTGGAGCGCCTGCCCCGATCTTAATGCAGCCCGACTGTCCTCCGCTGGGAAGGATGAATGCAGTGCCTCCAGCCTGGGAAAAACTGATGTTTTCCATTTTCTTTTAAACACCAGAAAAAGAGCTTCCCCGTGCACACAGCACAACACAAAACGTGAATCTCCATTTCACATCAATTGCTTTTTTTTTTTAGGGTACATAATCAAGTTTATACGGTAATCTCATAACTGGAGCTAATTTTTCAAGCCTAGGATATAGCACTGTCATAAAGCAATGTCACGTCCAAGGGCAGAGGTGGGGGCGTGGTGTGTGGAGCATCTTCAGACTGAACCTGGTCCATCTGTTTGGGCGGAGACCCAGCATTCTCAAAAAAGCAGTTAACAGCCCTTTTTCTTTTCCTCACTCTATGCAGGGAATGAATACCTGAAGACTGCGAAATAATTAATGGCTTGAGGGTTTTTTTTAATGCTATAAATAATACTGTTAATGTTTGCATGACCAGAAAACAGGGATTTGAAATGTTTGCAGGAGGCAGGAACTAATTCTGAGTTCTAATTCGAACTTGCTAGTGAGGAAATTTGGCAATTTAGACTCCAGTGTTAAGTAATTGGACTTAAATATTTTCTTTGGCAGTGACGTCTATTTTTCTCCCAGAGTCTTGAAATCATCATATCTGTGGAAATCTTTCTGTGTAGTATTGAAAGTTTGGTCTTGTTGCAGTGGAGTTTACTGAGTACTCTCCTCTAGAGTGCACTCCTAGTAAAATGTAATTGCCTTTAAAAAAAGCACTTTTAATTTCGGTTTTGAATCTACTTTTGCTTTAAGTCAGCATAATGTAGTAAAGTCTAAATTTACATAAAAGAAATTAGGGGTACTAACATATTTAAAAGGATTCACAATAGCAAGCTGTGAACAGGGAGCTTTCCCAAAGCATTTAAAAATGTTAATATTTCAGTGGATAGAGCACTGGCTCTGGATTCAGGAGGACCTGAGTTCAAATCTAGCCTCAGACACATAACACTTAGTAGCTGTGTGACCCTGGGCAAGTCACTTAACCCCATTGCCTAACTAAAAATATATATATATATATATATATAATATAAAAAATGCTAATATTTACAAAATTTGATTTTCATTTCTACAACTTTAAAGAATTTTTGTTATGTTACTTTGTCATTCATTCAATAAACTCACTTGTGTGCAGAATATTGGGATAACTTAGGGTGTCTTAGTGGATAGGGACTTGGAGTCAGGAAGACCTGAGTTCAAATATGATCTCAGATACTAGCTGTGTGACCCTGGCATGTCATTTAACCTTGTTTGCTCAGTTCCTCTTCTGTAAAATGAGCTCCAGAAGGAAATGGCAAGCCACTCCAGTATCTCTGCCAAGAAAATCCCAAATGGGGTCTTATAGGGTGGAAATGATTGAATAACAATGTGCAGAATATTGTGCCATGGAGCTTTATTGTCTCCTGAAATACCGTATTACTAGATTGCTTGTTACTCTTAGATTTATGTTTTTGTAGTTCATATTGTAAAAACATCTTTTTTTTATTCCCTCTCACCTTTCCAACATAACATATAGACTACTTCTATTTTATAGATATGGAGGCTGATATAGAGAAATTGCCAGTGTTCTCACAGGAGGTTGCTGTGCCCTGGAATCAGAATGAAGCCTGTCTGGGTCTTTGGTCATGCCTTCATTTGACTGTCTTGGGTTTACTGGAATTAAATGGATTTTCATACATTTCTCTTTAAGTAAATATGAAATTGCCTCAATTTAAAAAACAAAACAAAACACATTATTTTTAAAAATTCAATTAGGTCAGATTTTCCAGAGAAGTCAGTAGAGAATTTGTTGCAACTTCCTTAAGCATATTTTCTTTTCAGGCCCATATATGGGGAATCTACTTTGTCAGTTTCATAAAAGGTCTCTTTCAATTGTTTTTAGGCAAAGATACCAATTGTTCAGAGATTATCCTGATACAAGAAATTGTGAAAGATGGCTTTCATAGGTAAGTTTTCTTAATAAATTGGTGGCTACTTATTCCATAACGTTGTTCTCCAATTGGGTAGGACGGTTTGCTGGAGGAAAAAAAATGGCTTGTAAGGCAATCAGAACCCATGTGGAGAGAATGCTGTGCCTGGAATCAGGAAGACCTGTGTTCAAATCTGGCCTTGGACACTTACGAGCTGTGCGACTCCGGGCCATCAGTTAACTTCTACTTCCCTCAGTTTCCTCTTCTATAAAATGGGCGTAATTCTAGTACCTATCTCCTAGGGTTGTGTAAAGATCAAATGAGATACTATTGTAAAGCACTTTGCAAACCTTAAAGTGCTATATAAATGGTAGCTTTTGTTACAGTTATCCATTTGAAGAAATATTATGAAGCAGTTTTTATGTAGCATATAAAAATCAAGCTTGCAGAAAAAATGAGAAATTATCTTGGATGGGCCACCTGATAATGGGAAGAGTTAGACATTTGGGGTTAGGAGGAAAGGCATAGGATGTATTGTAACTAAAAAGTAAGTTGAGTTGAGGGGAACTCAGGTGAAGTATCTGGGGAATTTGGAAAGACCTATAGTATTATTGTCATAATTTGACTGTTAAGTGAAAAGTCTATCAAAAGAACTCATCAATAAAACTGTTTTCTAAAATTAGTACAGCTTGATTTTGATAACATATTGCATAATGTGTGGGAACTTAATGAAGAGTATTTATTTTAAGTTTATTTTTCTTTTAGAGACTTGCTGGTAAGAGTGAAACTTGGCACAAACGTTGAAAAGTCACAGACCTGCAATGTTTTGATTAAATATCACCTTCCAATGGGATTATATGTGGACCCATATGAATTGGCTTCGTTACAAGAACACAATGTGACAGAGGTATAATTAGTAAATAAAGTTTGGGTGTGATTATTAGGTTGCTTGTTGTTTGAGCATTTTAAATCAGAGAAGCTGCAGCTTGTAGAGAAAAGTAGCATTGTCAGCCAGGAGATGTCTTAATTATTTGTGCATTTTGTTAGCCATATCCTGAAAATATTTCAAGATTAAGATCAGAGTAATATCTGGCACTTGTCAGGAATAATAATAACTAACCATTACCTAGTACTTTAAGATTTACAAAGTGCTTTCCTTATAACAACTCAGAGTATGATTGTACACAAGTCTTACTACCCTCATTTAACATGGAGTAGTTAAGGAGGAAGAAAGGAAACAAGCAGTAAGTGCTTGTTATATGCCAGATAGTGATACAAATACAAGCAAAAAGAATGATAGTTCCTGCCCTCAGTGAGCTTACATTCTAATGGCTGAAGAAAACACACAAAAAAGAGCTGGAAAAGGGGGTGGGGAATGTACCTGTAAAGGAAGGATGGGGGCCTGGTTTTAGAGTACTGAGAAAGCTGGAATGGGCGAAAAGCTTGGAGGGGAATAAAAGCTGACTAGCCCCTCTATGAAAAAGAGGCTCCAGGAGGAATTCACCAATGGCGGCCCTTGTGGAGTAGCTAGGCTACTCCAGGATGAAGAGGCCTGGTAGAGGGAAGTTTCAGGATGAGCTGCCATTGAGGGGGTTTTGAAATCTAGAGAAACAGGAACAGGGCAGGGAGGGAAAGGAGAGTTAAATGACTATTCATTGCTGCTTCCTTATCCTCTTTCCCTGCAAAGTATCTCTTCCTACTATTTTAAAGAGCCATTGGCAGCATATTTCCTTTGGGAGTAGGCCTAGTTCCCCCATGAGAGCTGATGGTAGGCTAGAATATAGCCCCGTCCAGGCGTGCCAGAAAAAAGAGATTTGAGCCTGGACTCTTCTCCTGTTAAGTTTTGTCCATTTTATATTTTTTCTTATTCTAAATTTGTCAAATAGCAACAGACATGAACATTCACATGTAGATAGGAGAATAACAAGAAAAGAAGATTATATATGAAAATACCAATCTCATATGTAGCATTTTTTTTAAATAAAGTATTTACTAAATTCCACACATTGATTCCAAAGCTATCACTTTTTTCAGTGACTCTTTCTGAACTTCTTTCTTAGTTCTTTTCTGCATTTTCTTTAAATTCTTTATTGATACTTTTCTTTCTTCTTCCTTTTTTTTTTTTGGATTGCTATTGTTACCTACCTTTCCCCCCAAATCCTCTTTTGTAACAAGTGAGCGTAGTCAAGTAAAACAAATCCATATGTTGATCATGCTTGACCCTACTTTTTAAAGGCTTATACTTATAAGTTTCCTGAAGTAAAGACTGTTAATTTTTTGGGCAACTTTTTATAGGATTTTTTAATAATATTTCATACAGAAGCTCATTAAATAGTATTAAATGACTTTTAACTAACAGATGTCTCAGAATTTGTCTAATTTCATAATCATCGTTCACAACCTTTATACTTGTTCCATAAGTTAATTTACTTCTTTATATAATGAAATCAAATGTGATTGGGAAACATCACATTATTATCTGTGTTTATTGGGAGTTCTTTCCTTCTGCTTAGCTGTATGATGGTTGTGATCCTAGTCTGTGGGGCAGAGAAACTTCATGAGAAGTAGGGTTATGCTCCCAACCCGATGGAGTGGAAGGGAGCTCAGCTGTGGAGAGAGGTTTGCTTTTGTTTTGCTGAGTGGGGCCTGTTATCCTCATGAAGTAAATCCCTGTCTTTGGGAATTAGGACCAGATTTGTAGTGTGGAGTAGCTCTCTTTAGTTTTTGAGCACTTTGAGAAAAGAAAGAAGCTAAGATGGGTTCATTAGGAACAAGTCATGCCAAACTAACTTCTTTTCCTGTTTTTGGTAGAGTTATGAGCTTATCAGGGAATAATCCTAATGAAAACATAGGATTATAGGATCCCAGGTTGAGAACTGGAAGGGACCTTTGAGATCATTTAGTCCATACCTCTAATTTTGCAGGTGAGGAGATTTTTTTTTTAGGCAATTGGAGTTAAGTGACTTGCCCAGGGTCACACAGTTAGTAAGTGTCAAGTGTTTGGTCTGAGGCCAGATTTGAACTCAGGTCCTCCTGACTTCAAGGCTGGTGCTCTATCCACTGTGCCACCTAGCTGCCCCTAAGGTGAGGAGATTTTAAACCAAAGAGTCAAAATAAGTCATAGATTCAGAAAGTGGTGGAGCAAAGATTCAAACTTAGGCTCTCTCACTCTAAATCCAGTCCTATTTCCATTATACTATGTTTCCAACCAGTAGCAGAAAGGAAAACAAATAAAACCCTATAAATGCTGCTCCAGGTGCAGTGGAGAGCTCCCAGGTATGAATCCCTGAATGTGATTCCAACTGAGATGCTTTCTTGGGATTTAAATTTTTCTAAACTGGCTGGCCTCACCTAAGGCTTTCCCTTCTAGGATCTTGGGACTTAGGTCATCTTTTTCCTTATGTTTGCTCCAAGCACTGAAAGGTGAGATGACTAAGTACCCCATGAAATGATGTTCCTTATTGGCTGTGGACCCTGACTGCCAGCTTTTTTGATGGTTTTCTAAAGATGAGTCTTGTAAACTTATCAACCCATTTAGGTGGGGCTCCTTTCTGCTGTCTGATTTCATTCATACCTTCATCTGAGAATCTTGGAAGACTTTACAAAGGATGTAACACCTGAGCTGAAACCCTTGGGCCTCAGTTTCTTCATCTCTAAAATGAAGGGTTTGACTAGATGATCTCTGTTTCCAGGTGTAAATCCTGTGTTGCCTTGGTTCTATGAAGGAGCCATTCCCCTATGTTCATTTCCTCTGGGCTCTCACCATTGCTTGGTATGAATTCTAATACACTCTTATTGCAGTAGCCTCTTAACCTATCTTCCTTCATCTACTTTCTTTCCATCTAGTCCTCCCTCTGCTACTGCCATCATCATCATCGTCATCCTCATCTTCATCCTCATCATCATTTTAAGGTTTCCAAAGCACTTTACAAACATCTCATTTGATCCTCAAAACAACTTTGGGAGGTAGGTGCTATTAATAACTCCATTTTCTCAAATCAGATAACATTTGTAGAAAGTGCCTGGCGTATAGTAGGCACTATATAAATGCTTATTCCCTCCTTTCCCATTAGAAAACTGAGATTAGAAAACTGAGGCAGACGGAAGTTAAATGGCTTATCCAAGGTTACAAACAAACAAGTGTCTTAGGTCATATTTGAACTCAGGAAGATGAGCCTTCCTACTTTCACTCTATTCGTTGTGCTACCTAGCTGCTCCTAGCCACGTCCAATTCTTTCTTAGGCCTTTATGCTGTGTGCATAATATATGAAGTCACACAACTAGTAAGTATCCAAGGCTGGATTTGAATTTAGTCTTCTTGATACAAGATGCAGTGCTTTAGCTACTGCATTACCTAGCTGCCGTATGTCATCCTTACATGTGAGGATCTGTCCTTTCTTAGACCCCCCCCTTCTCAGAAAATCTTTAATTACTTTCCTGTTGTCTAGCAGATAAAGTTCAGACTCCTTAGAGGGCTAGAAAATAGCCCTCCACTGTCTGGTACCATCCATCCTATCTTCCAGATTTCTAACATATTTTATTCCTCCATGTAGTCTATGCTCGAGCCAAACTATATAACTTATATTCCTTGTGTGTGCCCTGTGCTTTCCTGACCACAAGCTTTTTATAATATTCTTTAGGCCCAGAATCTCCTTCCTTTTCCTTTTGCCTATTGAATTCCTAACTATACTTTTTTAAAGATAAACTTTTATTGATATCTTTTGTTTTTACATCACCGAAATTTCACCCTGTATCCTTCTTTTTTCCCCTTCCAGAGACCCATCCTGTATAAAAGTGAATATGTTTTAAAGAAAAAAAGGAAGAGATAGAAAAGGGAAAAAAATCAGCAAAACTGAATAATACATAAAAAAAAAGTCTGAAATATATGCAGTATTCCACGCACGGGGACCTCTCACCTCTGAAAAGGAGTGGGGTGGGTTAATCGTCCTTTAAAATCCAATTTAGATATCATCTCCAGGAAGCCTTCCCCAATGTCTCTCATTCAGGCAGTAAGCTATTGGCACCTCTCTAATGCAATCATCTCTTTTTTGTATTATGTGTTTGTATGTAACTTTGTATCATTGTTATTTTTCCGTTACCATGAGAATGCATCTGGCCTTATCTGAATCTAATATTGGTTGCTAAACTCTGCTACTCATGAATTATCATTTGTATTGTGTCTCAAGCCATATTAATTTTTAAAGTATACAGAACAGTCTGTATACTATGAGAAATGTTGACTTTCTGGCCAGTCTGACCATGGTGTTTTGTCTTCTGCTTGACTCCCTTATTTGCATCTGTGAAGAACAGGAAGCTATTAGAATGAGTTAATCACTTTAGCCTCCACACTATCCTTTCGTTTTTTGGGATTTTTTTTTAATAGTAGTAGATAGCACATAGGTTTGGTAATACTGACATAATTATTTCACCCTCTCATGAAAATATTTTATTATCAAAACCAGGATGTCGGGGGAGGTTATGTCATTGGTCGTGCTCCTACAAAGATGAACTTTGGCAGCCCTCTTTTCTAAGAACTTCCTTGGGCTGCAGTGACTTTTCATGCAGCATCCTCAGCAAAGGCTTGAACATAAGAGTCATTTTCTTTTAACTAGCCTGCCTTAATGAAATATAGTTCATAATTTTTCCACTTTAGATTTCAGGAGCTCAGTGAACTTGAATGCAGGGGGGTGGAGGAGAGGATAACATCTTTATTTGCACCAACTTGTAACTGAAATTTAGTAGTTCTTTCAGTTATGGATATAAGCAACAAACCACAGTAGTATTAGACTTCATTGGCCTGCCAAAGAGAGCCATCGCATGCACACACACACACACACACACACACACACACACACACACACACACACACACAC